TGGAAGTATTTGTGGGAGAAAACTGAAACTTGGTATAGTGATATGTACATATGTGAAATCAATGATGGCATTAATCGATTGATGTTTTAATCAGTTAGTTAATTCGATTAAATGCAATCTAATTACAGCTAATCATGATTAATTTTAATCTGACTAAGCAGTTAATCGTAATCGCGATTAAAAAATTAATTTTTAATCATTAACTCTTAATTTGATCAAGTAGGTTTTGTGATTAATTAAGTTATGCTGGAATTTCCCTGTGCACACAAAGCGAGTTAATCCGGTATGGCTAAGTCGGACTTCCTCATCAATCTAAGCAATTTGGTGTACATTTTCATTAAGATATATACCAACAAACGTTTTACAAACTAGGTTTGTAAAAGTTCCCAGTTTATGTATCACTAATAACAATAATTATAATTTTTTTTTATTATGCGCTTTTTATAAGCGTAAAACACAAAATAATTACTATAACTGGTGTTTGGTTTCAAACTCGGACAAACTAGACAAATTAATCAGATTTTATTTTTAATTAAATTAACGATTAATGTTTTACATTAATTAAACGTAATCGCAGTCAGCGATTAACGATTAAAAAAATTTTATCATTCATCGTACAGTTGATTACGACTAATTAATTTTAATCGTCAAACGCGATTAACATTTTAATCGGTAATTTTTAATCGTTAATCAGATTAATAGTTTGCCAACACTGTGTGAAATCATGTTCATATTCACGGAGAAAAATGGACGTTTTTGGAAAAGAGGCGTAGCACCTACCTGACTGAAAGTTTCATATTGCATATCTCTTCAAATGTTTGGGGTATAGCACTCGAGCTTGGTATGGAAATACATATGTATGTATGTATGTGAAACTAATACCATACTCATGGAGAAAAATAAGAGTTATTGGAAAAGGTGGTGTGGCAAGTCCCATGCAAATTGATTTTGTGTTTATTGCAGAGGACTGGAACTTGGCACCGAGATGTGCATACAAAATTAATTCCATACTCATGGAGATAAATTTGCGTTATTCGAAAAGGGGACATGGTTCCTCCCGTACAAATTTACTGTTTTGTACTGATTATCTCTAGAGGTGTTCATGGTAGAGTACTGGGACTTGGTACTGGGGAATGTAAAATTAATTCTGTTCATGGTAGAGTACTGGGACTTGGCACTGGGGTATGTAAAATTAATTCTAAATTCATGGAAGAAGATTAGGGTTATAAGAAAAAGGGGCGTGGCACTTCCAGTACAAATTTACTTTTTCTTGCCACATATCCCTGGAAGTGTTTGTGGAAGAATACTGGAACTTGGTATGGAGTTGTGTATGCAAAATGTATCAATTGCTCATGGAAAAAATGTGAGTTATTAAAAAAGGAGGCATGTCGCCTCCCGTACATACTAAAAACTTCTTAATACATATCTCTGGAAGGATAGAAAATCCCTGGAAGTATTTTAAATTTGTTATGGAGATTTATTTTATAAGTGCCGTACTGACAGAATAAATTTCATTAAATGGAAAAACGAGAGCTGGGTTCGGCCTTATAATCTCTCTATAAAGTTCTCTTGAGGCATTTGCTATAGTAATGGAAGTGGTATTTTATCAAGGCCAGGTTACTAAATTTGAGTTGGAAATATTAGAACCCGCCGTGGCACCTCCAAGAAGGTTACACGTTCACGCGTCGTATACCTGGAACCATTTAAAGGTAAACTTAGAGGGATTGATATCTTTCGTATGCCTAGCGCGCAGACGAGATTTTATAATTTCATAGTTTTAAACGGCCTAAATACCTTAACTCGCTTAAAAAATAACGAGCTATAACGAAATGGGCACAGAAATAAAATCTAACATCATTAAATTATTTTTCATATTTGTATAAAAGCGCGGGGTGAAACCCGCGGGAATAAGCTAGTGTAATATAAATTAAAACATACTACATATTTTGAACTGTTATAAAACCACCTGATAAATCTCTATTTACCAGGAAATCAAAGCTCTCACAAAATATGTATGTTTATAAAAATGTATGTATTTTTTCCCGGAACTCACATCCAAGTCTTTGTAATACATATACAGTCATGTGAAAAATAATAGGGACTCTACATTTTTACAAGTTTTGGATTTTTTCTTTTATAAAAATATAGCTCATTATCTAACAAAAACCATGTAAGTCCAATTTCAAACTTTGTAGAAAAATTCAACGAATCAACAATTCAACAAACTTTGAGAATTTTTATAATAATTCTAAGTATGCAGTTTTATAGCCCATTGAATTATAGCTTAATAAAGGGCAAGTTTCTAGTGACGCTGATTTTTGAAAAATTGTTTGCCGATGGTGCTATTATTTTCTTTCAAACTTTCTAAAAATTCTTAATAAAAGTTCGTTGTAAAATGTTGCTAAATTTTTTTATTTTTTCTACAAAGTTTTAAATTTAGACCTATGCATGTGGTTTTTGCAGATAATAAGCTATATTTTTATAAAAAATAATAAACATCAAACAAACAAAATAAAAATAGTCACAACTGGTCAAAATTACGTGTCCTTATTATTTTTCACATGACTGTATATTAAAAGGCCCGAGAATGTAAAATTTACTTTCTTAATTTCACAGCAAATTGCGTGGAAAAATTAGAAATATTCGCACGTCTGAATGCACTTTTACATACATACAGGGCTTGTTCGAGGCACGTAATAAAAGCGACATTACTGCCGTACTGATAAAAAATGGCAGCATATTTGCAACTGCCCAACTGATAATACATTGCTAGAAATTCACACAGAACGTGATACTTTAATAATTTGCGCAACAATGCGGTTATGATTGCAACTCGAACAAGCCCACATATACATATGCATATCATTCAATTTATTTATTAAGTAAAATCTAGATTATAAGTTAACTCACCATTTTTCTGAATTGCCAGAAGTCAGTGGATGAAAGAAATCTATTGAGAGCCCACTTTTTAAACAGCGTACTTTGAATCATAGTAGTCTGAACTTCACAAAATATATCACACAATACTGTATGGGTGGTTTGAGTACCTCGCGACTGCACTTCCGAGAGGCGGTCGTAATACTTGACGATCGGCAGGTCGTGATCAATTTTTAGTTTTAAGCAACACTTCTTATAAATCTCTTTTAAAGAAATACTAGTTGGATTGTCTTCAGCTAAGCGCATTTGCGGCGATATTGGTACCACTCTTGGAATCGTCATATTTAGAAATCGTCTAGCAGTCTCCTTTTGTTTCTCTAAATAATAGTTAAGCATTCGCATTAATTGCAGTACGCGCTCTTCTCTTCGGGCATCGCCTAATCCAGTGTCTATAACTACCAAATAAGGATAAATCTTTCCATTGGTACCACGAATATACAATCGTCTTGCCGCCGTATTGTTTTTTTGAACGATTTCCACACGTGGCATGAACCTTGCAATGCGTATATGGTAATGCGAAGAGGATGGCAGGAGTAATTCTCCAGGCAATTCAACCTCTGCTGTCTTTTGGCTGAAGTTTGACAAAAACCTACATTTGTCTTCAATGAGAAAAGATGTGGGAAGTTTTTTCACTTTAGCCTCCAGAGCTTTTATCCATGTTTTTAATTTTGAAATAAGATTATGCAATTTCATAGCCCCTGGCTTAGAGAAATCGAAATCATTCGTAAACTGTTCCTTCATTTTTTGAAATACGGGGTCTTGAAAGGTAACTTGCGCCCTACGCGCAATAGACTCAGATGCTGCTGAATTCGAGGCAGAAGTTGCAACGGATCCCGGTATATTCTCGATACCAATACCGAATGTTGATCCCAATTTTTTCACGAAGTGCAGAGTGTGTGGCGTAATTGTCGCATCATTGACGGCACTTCTATTTTCAAATGCAATCGCATAGCATTTAATTAAGCCTTGTCGTAATTGCCTTAGTACTTCCTCGGTCCAGCTTTCTCTAAACCAAACCATCTGGTCCACGATCCCCTCTAGGGAGCTGAGAATTGTTGGATGAATTTCGCGTTGAACATGCATTACTTTTGAACAACGCCACATCGAAGGAGTTGCTTTAATTGGATTAACGGTTGATCCGGAATTGGTTTGAGTATTCATTGCTTGCCCACTATTTTGGTTCTCGAGTACCTAAAGGGGTTGTGATATACATACATATCTTTTTAAACTACTAGTTTCTTCAACTTTAAAGATATATAATATTTATATTTTATTTTTTTAAAGGTAAGTTTCTTGAAAACTCCTATGCAGAAAAAGTAAAAAACCAAATCAAATGACCTTATTTCCTTCATTAAGCAGCCTCTGGACCCGTAGCATATCGACAGGCCCTGAACGGCATTCACAGGGAGTCAGTCTCAAGTTATGTAGACTCCAGACCTGTAAATGCCGTTCTAGGCACACAACCACCGGACATTCACGAGACGGAGCTTCATCTGCCTCGGGAGACAAGAACTGCAATAGCCCAACTGCGCTCGGGCTACTGCAGCAGGTTAAACTCATACCTGAGCGGACTAAACGCAGATGTGCCAAATGAGTGTCCGGCATGCGGAGAGACCCCTCACGACTCGAAACATCTCTTCGTATGCCCGGAAAACCCGATAACCCTCACGTCTTTGTCCCTGTGGACCGACCCTATTGAGTCTGCACGCTTCTTAGGGCTGCCTTTAGTGGAACTTGACGACAACGACTGAGATATTAACCGATCTGGGCGGGGTTGTTGTAGCCGCTACAACAACAACAACAACCTTATTTCGTCATTGAACACGCCTTTTTATTTTTTCAAAACTATAATTTTGTGGCTAACAACATTATTCGCGGCGACCATTCATATGTAAAGCGCAGAATCCTTTTCTTAAGTTTAAGTAAAACTGTTACAACTAAATTAACTGCTAATAAAACCACGTGGCTGAAGATTTTCAGCTATATATTTGAGCTTTAGCTTGCGAATGAACCTAATAAATTGACTTTTGTCCAAAAGTTTCCAATTTATCGACTCTGCATACATAAGAGTAATTTTTGGCATATACATTCGGTTATGAATGAAGTATGCCTAAAAACTTGAAGTGATGGCATGAATAAATTCGGTTTCAACGAGCCCAAAAGCAAGTAATAAGCATGGTTTCTTCCCACAATACCTTTTTTTTGTGTGACCTACTTGATAGTCTGCATTTGTAGAATTTTTGCTGAAAATTTTTAATAGGTAAAATATTTTCTCTACAACCGTGTCCGAGGTCCTCAGTAGCTTCCTGAAAATCAATTCTAAGCTTCACTTTTTTTCTTGGGGAATATACTTCGGTCTTCCAGTCAGAGGTAATTGCAATCCTCCTCAATTCCATGGACTACGTGGTGGAAAATATGTGGAGGGGAAGGAGTTTATGGCTGGTATTGTGACTTGCGAACGATTTGGTGAACAAACTTAAAATCTTCACCAAAATGTTCGCTTTGTAATTCACAATACCAGCCTATGAGTGGGTAGTGACAGCTAAACTGCGCTCAAAGCATTGGCCATCCCTCTAACTACTTCCACACTTATTCGGCAATGCAAGTCTCGGCTCGGGAGTACCTGGTAATGAGGCATCTGACCATTTGGCTAGAAAGGGGTCTGACCCGGTATTCTTCGCTCCGCAACCGGTCATATGCCTTCCATGAGTAGTGAAAGATGAAGCCCTTCAATTTGTGCCACTCCATACAAAAAAGAAGAGAAATAGGAAGGTAGAGTGGAAGGCCTATTGACTTTCAGGAAGACCTTTCACTCCTGAAATGATCTCCTGGGTAGTAGCTTTCACTGCAGAATACGAGCTCAACTGCGATGTGTCGAGATCCACATGTACACTCAAGTAATAAAGTAGATTTCCACTAAAAAAAAAAATAGTTATTTAGAAAGACGAGATCGTTGTAAATTGATTTAGCATTGAACTATGGTTGTGTTCAGAAATTCATTATTCCTAATTTATAATTGATGGAAATGCCTTATTAACGCAACTAGTAAGTTCCAATTGGACATTTAACCGCGGTTGCGCATATTGGACACTTCCATCAATTATAGTTTAGAAATAAAAGAGACTGATGCTTGGCGTGATGCAATTCTGAACGCACCAATTTTATTCATATGAGGGTAACATTCATACGTACATAAGTACGCATATAAAAGTAGTGAAATAAACCTTACCGGTGTTTGAAGTTTTCCAATGAATCCGGCCTGCTCAGCGGTTTTATGTTTTTCCCTTTGCTCAATTTTTAATGTTAGATACAAAGTTCGGATCGGAAAGTAAACGGCTTGAGGATATAAACGTCCTACCTGCAAATATATATTTACATACATTCATATAGAGCCTGTCAGACGTGGCAATGCAATATATTTCGAAAAGGCTGTCAAATTGAGAAATTTCAGAAAGCAGTTGCATGAGCAGGCACACCTTGCATGTAAAGTGTCTTTCGAAGGAGGTATTTTATTTCCGAAAGGCGAATTGCAAATTGCTAATGCAGCACGAGCAAGTTGAAATATATATCCGAAATCGATTTGCGCTCTCTCAATTGTAGTCACATCTTGCAAATTTTATTTCTGAAACTGATTTCCGAAATGTGACAAAAAGGTCTTTCTGGCTCATCACACATCGAAATAAAATTTCTCTTTCTCAATTTGACAGCGAATTGCGAGGAAAAGTTTGAAATATTGCCACGTCTGACTCGCTCTTATTTTTGTACTGTGTAAAGTGTCAAAGTGGGAATTTTTTCATGTTAAATCTTTTTTGTTAATTTCTTATAAAAATATTCTCCAAAGCCGTTTAATTCATAGTTTTAAACCTTAAACAAAAATACAATAAATTTCTTCGAAATCCATTAAAGTTTAAAATTTTTTGATCTCAATTTCTAAAACATTTTGAGTATGCAGTCTTATTATTAACTATGAAATTTTAAAATAATAAAGCGCAAAGTGTGAAGACTAACGGTACAAAAAAAAAACATATTAAAAATCGACTAAATTTTTTCGAGTCTTCAAACAAGCACTTTACTACTAAAACTTCATGATTTATAAAACTGTTTTAAAAATTCATATCAAATTTTAATGGAATGTTAACATTTTTTTCTTTTTTGTTTAAAGCTATAACATGGACAATATTTTTTATCAAAAATCAACAAAATAGTTTCATTCTATAGTAATAAAAAATAATAAGAACTAGTGACATCAAGTCTTACATGACTTAAAAGGTTCAAAATAACATTGCTTTCGTACTGCACCAAACAACAAAGGAGTTGAGGTATCCATGGAAGCCAATACGACGGAGGCACTCCAACCACATATTTTTCCAAAGTACTCATGAGAGTGCCACTTGTATTATCATAGGAGAGAAACCACAATACTTTTGCCAAATATTTTCTCGTTTTGCTTTCATTTTGATGACGACAAGCATGCAAATAGCAAGTTATTGCACTAACTGCAAATACCATTTGTCTATCTTTAAGGAACATCTGCTCCATATAGTCACCCCACATGGCCCAGGCTTTGGTCAGTCCATCGTGGAGTTGCACAGCTGCACTGAATGCTTTGCCCGCTTCTTCAGAACGGCCAATTTGTGCTAAAAGTAGTCCTTTAAGGGCATAGAATTCTGCATTCATTTCTCCTGTGAAGTACTTCAAGTTGGTGGATTCAATTACTTCAAGTGCCTCATTTAATTCAGTTTTTCCCGAAGAAGCTGCCATTTGCAAGTAACATTTCACTTGCTGCCGTATTTTCTAAATAAAAAATGCAAATATTGTACATTGGAAAATATAAATATTTATACAATTGTATGTATGTGTGTATATCAATGTCTTGAGCCCGCATGATCAATTTGAGTGAATAAAACTGCGCTTATGTAAGAGTCGTTATAACCAGGGCTTTGGAGCGGAGCAAAGGGGCACAGGATTTTAGCTGGAGCGGAGATGGAGCAAAGAGCTAAAAAATTCATTTGTTCCTTACTTAGCTCCTTCAGTTAATAAATTTCCTTTTTTCCACTTAAGGCAACTATGTTAAATAAGTTTGCACTCTATTTATTTTACTAGGAAATACTGTTCATTGCACAACAGGGTGGTCCAAAAATATTTTTGGGGGAAAAAGTTTAATAAATAGAAAAAATACCATTATTTTTTATTATATTTAGAAGTTCCCAAAGACCATGTAGTTGTTTATGTGTTTTAAATGGGGGAAAACACTTTTTCGTAGAAATGGTATAGAATTCTTGAAAATTAATGTTTTTAAAACAGAAACTCTGTTTCTCTTTTGGGGACTTCCAATAATAAAATCCAATTATTTATTTAAGCATGTTTTAATATTAACTATTTTTATAGGTTCTCTAAAAACAAAAAAAAATCCAATGACACTCTTGAAGCAAATGTGCAATATGTACATACATACATTTGTATATCGAGCTCTAAATTTTCTTTTGAATGCAGAAGTGTTCCATGGGCATCTGGATGCATTTCTGCAACTAAAAGAAGGAAATTAAAAAAAAAAATCACCTACGTTTTTTGCGGTTAGGGCTCGGTTTATAAGTAAATATGTAATTTAAAAAAATAATAATTGTGAGCGGGAGCGGAGCTAAGATCGGATGAAAAAAACTTTTGCTCCGAAGCCCTGGTTATAAGCGGGGATCATACGATTTGTACAGATGATGATGATGGAGCATATCGCATACAATCTTCAAAGGTGACACAACTTAAAATTACACGTTCGTCAGAAAATGCGAAAAACTGTTTCTTAGCAAGCGAATGCATACGGGCAGGAAAAAACTTGCTCCAGCAAAAATGCCAAATTTTGAGTTGTTTCACTTTTGAAGATGGTGTGCGTTATGATTTTTTACCTTAAAAATATAAAACAGGAAAAATGCAAACATGTAACGCAATGTTAGTAGGTAAAACTTAATAGTAATATAAAATATGATTAATCTGATTGTGATGTTCATGTTATTTATATATGATGTTATTTACTACTAACTCTGTTTCTTGCAGAAACAACATAAGTCAAGGACAGTTGTTCCGAGTTTTTTCATTGTTAATTTAGGCAAATTTTTTTTAAAAGCGAGCGACAAAAGTACGCTCAACTCGGGTAAAATTTCTTAAGCAACCCTGCTAGTATCTGGCAAGAACCATAATACTCGAACTAGAAGGTAGTAGGCAAACGGAAACGACCACTCCCCTAATGTGGACACTAGTTGTGGACGAACTTCTAGAAAGACTTAAAGGGAATGGCTTTAATGCATATGGATATGCTGATGACCTTGTCATCTACGTGGTAAGCTTGGATGAGGAGACATTATGCTCCAGGTTGCAGTCTGCTCTAAACGTAAAAGGGCCTGTTAATTAACCCAATGAAGTCCGTCATCGTCCCATTTACCAAAAGAACGAAGCTAAACTTGATCAAACCCAAATTGTGCGGGACAGATTTAATACTCCCAAGAGACAAAATATCTAGGCGTAATAATAGATAAGAGACTCAACTGGAACTCGCATCTCACAGCGGTTACAAATAAAGCCACGAGAGCATTTTATGCTTGTCAAAGGCTTCATGGTACGACTTGGGGAATATCCCCGAAATTAACGTATTGGTCATTCAATACGATGATAAGCTCCACCGCCTGGTTTGTGTGGCCATAACGGGGGCCTATGTGCTCGTGCCCGACTGAGGCGCTTGGTGTCATCACATGCATATCGCCTCTAGCCACACTTATAGAGAAAGAGGCTTGCTGGAGCGCCCTGAGGCTACAGAACTTAAGTAGCTTGAAAAGTGGGGACTTAGTGGGGTCATTTGGGTGTCCTAAAACCATTCATTAATGATCCCCTTGACCTTTACAAAGCCCTACAAGGTAAAAATATCTGAAAGGGATACCTGTGAAACGATAATCGCCATGTTCGGCGAAAGAACTCAAGTTTGGTACACTGATGGTACGAAACTTGAGGATGGGAACACTGCGGCCGATGGTCTTACACCCTACCATATTCCAGGCGGAAGCTTTTGCAATTGAGGTCTGTGTCCACGAATGTCTTCGTAGAAGACAAATGGGGCAACAATAAACATCATTTTGGATAGCCAGGCAGCGTTAAGAGCACCTTACTTTTGTAAAACTGTATCAAAGGTAGTAAGTAGCCAGTTGCAAAAAGGTACAACAACAACAACAACAAAAAGGTACTGTTCAGACTAGAAGTTAGTAACGACAACGAAAGGGCTGACACTCTAGCCAAAATCGGTGCGCAACGGAGCCTGATCGGCCCTCAGTCCATCCAAAGGATACACAGCAGAGCTCCTAAGGGGATGGGAGGACTTGCAAGTTACCACGCAATGGCGCTCGACAAAGGGTAATAGGCGGTCCAAAAGATTCATAACTCGCTCTCGAGGAATCTCTGAACGGCTGCTAAATCTTAGCAGAAAGGGTTTAACCTGTTAATTAACTATAAGGATTATTTTAATTTAAATCTCTTGAAAATCAAGTACTATATTCAACTCAAAAACATCTTTAAAACCCGTGTTTTTTTTGTGGACTACACAGTTTTTGTTGATTATAAATTGTTGCTGCTTTCACAGAAGAAGAGGTCAAAGAGTAACTTTATGTATGATTACTTTTATGGTGAAATATATGTATATGAAGTATTTATGCTCACCTGGAAACAATCCACAATCGGCACTGAGGGTATGGTATATATTCGAGATAAAGTTTCCTGACAAACCCCAGTTAAGTTATGTTTTCTGGCTATCTTTCCAAAGTAAATTATTGCTTGTGCAGAGGCATGTACTCCAAGCATGGTATTACCCTGGTCTGATTGTTGTTCCAGATGCTGAGTAATTATCTGGTAATGATGTTGTCGCCATGTAAATATATCGCTCCAGTGAGACAAATCGTCCGCAACTACAGGCAATCGATTTCGCCACGTTTTGACAATAGCTTTCATATCGTGGATAGAAGTATTTCGGGACTGAACTAAGCCTTGATGTATAGTGCTTGCCTCATGTAATTCCATTATTTGTTGCGCCGCCTGTAGATACTGCAAATGTATATGGGAAACAATGGATGGCAGTTTTCGCCATTCTTTCATGCATGATGCCGATGCGTTTTCTATGTGCCTTTCAACATTTAAGAGCTGACGATCTTCTTGATGCAATATAGCCAAAAAGCCTTTGTACAAGTGAATCTTATAGCCGAATTGTTTTGCAAAAGATTGCTCTGTTTTAGAAATAGCAGTTTTCATTAAATTCCAATCCGGAACGCGCCATGCACTTTCAAGTATAAGAAACATGTTCTTTTCCTTGTTTGTTTGAGCATAATCTAATAAAATATCCCACTGGTTCAGTTCTTTCGCACAGCGTATCCAATGGTTTTCCCATAGAAGCAATTCACTGTTAACATCAGTGTTAATCAATCCATTAGCTTGGTCATGTTTGAACTTCGACATTGCCAAGTCGTAAGCTCCTTGAGCTTCCTCAAAAAATCCCATTTGTTCATAAGCTATAGCAATATTCGTTTCTGGATAGTGTGCATATTTCAACCATAAACCAGCCCAAAGATCCTCTTCTTGCATGGTGGCATACATTTGAGAAAGTGAATCGTACACTACATTTTTCTTCATCGGAGAAAATGGTTCATGATGGTCCACTTCGGAAGTGTCGGGAGATATTCTTCTAGTTCCATGATGAAGTTCTTCTAAGACTAAAGTCATACGATGCCATAGATTGTGTGCTCGCCCAAGATACGTCATTAAATTAGGTGGAATATATATCGGAGGATCACATTGCATCAAACTCTCTACAAAAGTGTTAAGTGCACTGGGATAGCAGTCCTTTTGTACGACATTGCTGCCAGAGGAAAGAAATGGAACCAGCTCCCTTGAAATTAAATGTTGCTGCTCCTCATCGAAGATTGCCCACAACCGTGGAAATATAATTAGCCACACATTTTCGGCGAGTTGTATGTCCATGTGACACAACTGAGCAATAGCTATAATTAACTGTTCCGTATTGATTTTACGATTTGCTTCTAAAAATTCAATCTGCTTATTTATGAGAAGGTGTAGTTTACGTTTTGGCACCTCTTTATCATTTTCATTATTACGGTTTACACTCCAACTTGATTCAAGATCGTTGTCAAAAACATCTTCTTTATCTTCAACTTGCATGGCATCAAAGCATTCACTATGAGAAGACGTGTAAATTACGAAACTGCTTTTATCCTGGCCTTCAGCGAGATTAATTACCGATTTGATACTTGGCACCTTGTGCGCCTCACTTGAATTTTGAATTTGGGTCATTGTGTTGGTAGTCAAAACTAAAAGTTCAATACACTGTTTTATCCAATAATGAGTACCAATAGAGTCCCAAGCTTGTGAGCAGATAATGTAAAGAAGTCGGTCATGAAGCCTTCTCCTCATTGATGCATCCAAAATTTCAAAGAACTTGGATCTTATCTGTGGATCTTGGCAACGCAGACCAGTTAAAAATGCGCCTTCAAGTTTAGCCGTCAGTTCAGTTTGCTTGTAATATTCGTCTCGGTATATATAATTTACGATCTCCAAAAATTGTATATTGAGTTCCGTTTCATCTGAGAACTTTTTTTCTAAATACTGCATAAGCTTCACCAGCAAGATCGATTTTTCTCGTATAGAGGGTATCTGCATTATAGGATTTTGTTCCTTTGCTCTTATCCATTCATCTAGCATTTTTATTATAGACTTCAAAACTTTAACATCTAAGCTTTTCTCAATAAGATTTACAAGAATATTTCCAATGAATAGTTTTCGCACCTCAACGCCCATAATAATTATTCGATTTTTTATCAAATCCAATGAAAGGACTAACAATTCCAAAGATATATGACTGCTGTCCGTACTGGATGCAACGGGTTGCCCATTGCCTTGCGTATTCAAGTGATCCTTTGTCAACCTATTTAAAACTCGAATAAATTGCAACATGAGTCGGTCTATATAGCTTGCATTGTTGGAAGAGCAAGCCTTTAATATCATTAGAGTTCCAAATAATGATGGTGGATTAGGTTGAGGACTTTTTTCATATAATGTTAAATTGTCCGAGATCATTTTGCTTATAGCGTTATATAATATGTCAAGATCTTCGTGTTTATGATTAATATCTGGTGGAAAAAGACTCATAAGTCTAGTGAGAAATGCATGCATAAGACGAACAATTCGTGTATTCTGGTGTATTATACAGCTGGAGAGTCCTCTTTGAATTGGCCTTATAGTGGAGAGCAATTGATCGGGTGGCAAAATTGTTGTTAAAAATGTAACAAAATCCAAACCAGTGCAAATATTACTCAGGTTCGGCGTGGGAGTTTCAATGGTCATAAATACTTTATCCATCCAGTTTAATTTAAGTTCGAACGGCTGAGGCCATTTATTTTGCATTGCTGACTTTAATAGCATTATGCATCTACAAACATACATTTGTAAATAAACATTATGTTAATTTGAAACAAATAGGCTTTATACTTGCGCGACAATCCCTCGCCAGGAGAAATAACTGCGGGCTGATTATCGTTTACTTGACATGCTAGCCGTATGAGAAAATTGAGAACTGTGTCACAATGGGTTTTTTCTATCGATCGGAAAGCGTCATCTATTTTCTGACTCTGATTTACACCAGAAGGGCCTGACAAAAATGAAATGTCAACTTCAACATTGCAAATATGATAATTTAAATTACTAAAATAAATATATTACTTTGACTTATTGAACTCCGAGATCCATCTGTAGCGACGGGTTTTTTGCGTTGTGAGGTAATTTCATCAGACGTTCGTTTATTTGTGCTATCACAGATGGTATCATCACCATCTTGATTTATATCCTCCACTTTTGTATCTTTCTCTTCGTCTTTGATACGCTGTCCTTCCCATTTTATTATTACGTCAGCGATGTCTACTGCGAGTTTTCTGTGCTCCAATGATGCAGTGGGGGGAAACCCAAGTCGTTGCATATAATTTATAAGATGCTGTACTAAATGATGTCGTACGGGGTAATATACCTAAATAGAATATACGGGATTAGACAATGAGAATTTCACGCTGGGTGTGACATTACGCCAATGCCGTCAGGGCTGCCAACTTGGCTCACACCGTGCCATTTTTGGCCCTAGTTTACATCAAATGGCACTTAATTTTTCAATTTGACACAGAGTGCCAAAATGGCACTTCTGAAAAATAGCAATACTTCAATACATTTTTGTGAAATCCTTCGCGTGAACTTATTTTTCTCAACTAAAATTTTCTAATTTCTATAGTGTATACAATTGGTTAGCATTGGCCTTTTGTTTTAGGAATGTGTTTCTAATTTTAATGGTAAATGTGACGATTTAACAAGTAAGAAAGTCTAAGTTCGGGCGGAGCCGAACATTAAATACCCGGCGCAAATATTAAATAAATGTTTTTTCACCTTTCCGAAACCTACCGCTAGATGGTTAGCCGGGGTGTATCAATTTTGAGTAAATTAGCGTCCTTAAATTTCGAAATTCTGCAGTTTCAAGCATTTCTGAAATTTACCGTTATATGAAGAGCGGCCGGAATTTTAGTCCGATTTCAATAATTTTCAACGTTTTGCTTTTATGTGAAGATATATTAATTTTTACTCGAGTTATCTTGTGCACAGACGGACGGACAGACGGACGGACGGACGGACAGACAGTCACCGCTTAATCGATTTCTCTTTTCATTCTGATCATTTATGTATACATTTGTCTATATCTATCTCGATTCGTTTTGCCTGTTACAAACAACCGTTATGTGAACAAAGTTATAATACCCTTGTGCACAAGTGCGCTCGGGTATAAAAAGAATGGCCAGCCGAAAGCCTCCGTTGCTAGCGCTGCGTTTATGTTTAGTTTGTTTAAAAATTTTATTATTATTTAAGCTTTCATAAAATAAAAAATAAAATGAATAAATAAATAAAAAAAATAAAAAGAATGACACCTTTTTTACACTTTTATTTTTCTATTTGGCATATTTTGGCACTTTTTATCCTCAATATGGTACTTCACAGCTAGATATAGTTGTCAGCTCTAAATGCCGTTGATTTAATGAAATATTTGCAATTTTACATACTTAATATGGACCACCACCAGACCCACGCGCTTGGCTTCCTTATCTAATGCCGAGAAGCAATTGTACGCTTCTAAGGGATGGTTCCATATCGGTTCAGTGCTGTAGCTCTTATTATTCCAAGTCACCTTGGTTGCAACCTTGTTTGGTATCAAACAACACGGATAGGTCATCCCATCAATAAAACCAGCCTTTAAAAGAAATTCGCAGAAAAAGTACTTAATTTTTTATGGAGTTCTTTCTCCACTTCGTAAAGTTAAAAAAATTTTTTCCGACGTCGTTGAAAAGTGTATGCAGTGCGTATATGGACAAAAACGACATGAAATTAAGTTGAATACGTTTCTACTCGCATTTATATATATAGAAGAATTATACAGAAACGAATGGTGAATTTTTCATTTGGGGCTGTATCTGTTTTCTATAAACGATGTATATGGGGATCGTAAGTTAGCCGAATAGCATGACTCTGCATTCCATTGGTATACTAAAGTGCGTAGAGGACTTTTTGTTGTTGTTGTAGCGGCACTACTAATCCCCGCCTATTTCGGTTCATCCTTCAATCATTGTCGTAGGCTCAGGCATTTGACCATTTACAACTTTATTTATCAATCAACTTTCCTCGTTGATAGCTTGATGTTTTTTGTAAAAGAATGGGCTTTAACACCAATCACAAGAATTTACAAAAAATCTTTTACTTTTAAAATTTTCCCGTTAAATTTGGCATTTTTTATTCACAATGCAAATTTAAAATGCAAATATCTTGCGAAAATGACTTGATCTAGAAAACGGTAAAAGTTGAAAATGTTACTATAGTGTTATTAAAAATCGGTGTGTTGGCATAAGTTTCGGTACAATTGTACCATTCATTCTGACCACTACTGCATATACATATGTATGACGTCAGGGACATTATCCGTTTTTCATTTGAAGCGCTGTCAATGTGGCCATACTATAGAAAACACTTAGATAGGATTTTAGGGTCATACAAATTTTCGTCCTTGGCGAGTCCTAAAAACAGCCAAAATCGAGATTTCTTCATAACTCTTTCATTTATTGCTCGTTTCCCCAAGTCTAATCCACGGTTTTTCAGATTTTACCCTAGAATGCCTCCTTAACTTAGCTCAAATAACGCAATTTCTACCCCATTAAATACAACTTTACAATTTAGATGATAAAATTACACATTTTACTAAGCGATACATGTTCTTCAAGACCGGAGCGAACTCCTGTAAGAACAACAATTTCGACCTAGTGACCTGACCGATGTCCAGAATGTACTTAAATTGTGGAGGGAACACTTTTACAACCTACTAAATGATAGCAGCCCTGGAAGTAGTGGAGAAGACGAACCCGAGTCCCCAGTCGATGATGATGGAGTAGCTGTCCTACCGCTTGACTATGGCGAGGTACGAATAGCGCTTACGAGGCTGAAAAACAACAAAGATACTGGAGCTGACGGCCTGCCAGCCGAGCTATTCAAGTACGGCGGCGAGGAGCTGATGGGGTGCATGCATCAGCTCGTATGCAGAATATGGTCAGATGAACGCATGCCCGACGACGGGAATTTAAGTGAGCTCTGCCCAATCCACATGAAAGGCGACCCTACCATTCGCGCCAACTACCGCGAGGTCAGCTTTAGGCCCGGCAAATCCACCACAGATCAGGTATACACAATAGCCACATCTTGGAAAAGACCCGCGAGAATAGGATCGACACACACCATCTATTTGTCGATTTCAAAGCCGCTTTCGACAGCACGAAGAGAAGTTGCCTTTATGCCGCGATGTCTGAATTTGGTATCCCCGCGAAACGAATACGACTGTGCAAAAGTACGTTGATCCATACCACCAGCTCTGTCAGAATAGGGAAGGACCTCCCCGAGCCGAACGAGGTTTCAGACAAGGGCACCCCCTTTCGTGTGATTTCTTTAATCTGATGTTGGAAAAGATAATAAGAGCCGCAGAACTGAGCCGCTCAAGCACAATACTTTACAAGAGCGTAGAATTGCTGGCGTATACCGACGACATCGATATTATTATTGCATGTCACTGTAAATTTTCTGTTTATTAATTTATTTTTACGCTATTGTAATTTTATTAAAAGTAATGTATTTATTAGGATAGAAATTGAGTTATTTGAACTTAGTAGGTTAAGGAGGCATTATAAAAATTTTAATCTAATTTTAGCCGTTTATTCTTTATATCCGGATGATTTACAATCTGTCATGGCAGTCATATAGTACTTTATGCTAAACTCTATGTATGTAATCAACATTCTCTATTGTAAAAGCATATGCAGTACCCTATTTTATTTCAGATGTTTTCATTTGCTCTCCATGTTGAGGAACTAAATGCCTAAACTTACAGCAAAATTTGTGGAAGATTACGTATACGTATTAATATTACTTTTTTTGCAATTATTGTACGATTTTTGCCTCACCAGATACAATTTCTTGACTCGTTATTCCATATTAAATCTAGATTTACTTATTAGATTTAGAGATCGCATACGTGAGTTTCCAAACAAATATAACTTAAGAACCAAATTTGATGATGATCTCACCTTATAATGGCGTACAATCAATTGAAGTATATGAAACAGTTGCTGCATTAGATGCCCTTCTTCAACAATAATTTTTTTTGTCCAATGCGTTAGCATAGTATTGCCGTCTTCCATTCGAAGTGGCATCGCCGGAGTTAAGACGTCAAGCGCTTGACGAACGACTGGTCGAGCCTCAAGGGCATGTCCTTTTAGCAAGGAAAGAAAAACTTGAAGCACAATCTTTTTGTGTATGGCCAAACGAGCAATTATATGAGCCAGAAGAAGATGTCCATGATATCGGGCTGTTGGATCCACGGAGCTTTTACTAAGTAAGCAAGGCCAAGCAAAAGTCATGAGCCGGCGAAGCTTATTGCCTTGTCGTTTGTTATTAGCATCGCCGTCATGGATATGTTGTGAAGCTCTTTCCACAAGTAAACAAGCAAATTGCAGTAACGCAATTCTAACTGCATCTTCATTGGCATACGGTTTGTCGGGGTCAAATACCTTGCTAATGAATACAGACACAACATTGTTTTCATCATCAGTATATGAAGCCGGTGGTGCCCCTATCAATTTATTCCCCTCGCCTTTATCGAAGCTTACAACGAAACAGGGTATAAGCACCGCTGTTATAATTTTTGCCTTAAGATCTTCGGAAAGAGCAGTGCCGTTAAATTTATCAACAAAGTGGAAAAATGCTTTTCTCTTCCAGTGTACAGTGTAACTTTGAGCTACAGTATTTTGTAAAAATTCTCTTAAAAAGTGGAAGTCCGGTATAAAATGCAAACAAAGCGCTCGTAACAGTTGAAATAGCAAATCGATGTCATTGGTGTTATGGGAAAAATAAAGTAGTAATATCTTCCCAACTAAGTGCCATAAATCACAGGTGACATTGTCCTCACATGTGCTGTACAAACTTGTCTCCCATAGTTTTTTCAACGCTAACACAATGTCCGTTTGTGTGGGAATCCACTGATCGTCCATATCCATAATTGTATACACTAACAGCACTGCCTGATGTTGAGCTTCATATTTTTGTGATTGATCAAATTGTGGGTTCAAGCTTAACGCGCCATTTATAAGTTTAACCAAAACATTGCACTTTTGTGCTTTTACAACATTTCGGAATGATTGACCACCTCTATGTTTTAATAAATATATAAAGAATCTATTCCATTGGGAGTTTATGATTACGCCATCAGAAAGAAAAAGATCCACGGTTTCGGCAGGGAAGCGAAGTAAAAATTTCACCAGAGGTTCACGGTACGGACTTGATGATTCGATCATTAAGCTTTTTTCAGTTTTTAACACAAGCTGACAAAGACTATCAATATATTTTGGCGATGCTGCTGTTATCTGATGAAACATCTCTATAAGAGTTACAACCTTCTGTTCATATTCATCACGTTTGGCAATCGTGAAAAAGTTGCCCCCTTGATTGGTACTTGATTTATGTGAAGATATAGACATTTCTAAAATCTTCTGGCAATGTTGTAATATTTGTTCACTTAGTTTTTCATTAAACATTTGTGGAAATAATTGTGTGAAATATGAGAGTCTTTTCGTTGCTGTTAAAGATAGGTTCCGATGATCACCCAAAGTTAGAAGTAATGGCCGCATCCCAGCATGTACCTGTTGTTTTAAAGTTATCTGGTTATATGTATGATTAAGTATTATTCTAAAATCATTAGCTTTGTTTCTTAACAAATAATTATCACAAATTATCACTAATTTCTGCTGGAAAGCGTTTCTTAACCCAATGTTCAGCCCAACACATGATTCAATAATGAAAGGTTTTGTAAGAAAAACTTTCTCTCGCTCTAATTTTATCAATGACACTCCCACCCTACTCACAAAAACAAAAACAGTGATATTTCTTTTACAAATTTCTTTGGAAGTTTTAAGAATATTTTTAAATTTTTAGTAGTGAAATTTGTACTTTATAAATTTGAAGAAATGTTTGTTCTGCATTCACTGGCGACAACAAGACAAAATGGGTTAGAATCGTTGGCCTACAGAAATTCAACGTAGGCTAAAGAGACGAAATTCCCTTAAATGCCGAATAGTTGTATTCGTCGATATTCTGGAGACCTATTGATTCTGTCAACGAAGGTTTTTAGGTATTGACCTACATAGCACAATCCTGGTGTCTCCGAATGAGAGTGGCACTTCTCATTTGACGATGTAGATCACGTTCCCTGTCTCGTTCCCTGCGTGTTCTTTTTATTCTTCCCGAGTTCGTCCGGCACGAATCGCCAATCGCGGCTGTGTAAGCCATGTTCTGACGTCGGCGTAATCTCACCAGAACAATAAAAGTGCAACATCAAAGAATTGGAATTACCATATTCGAAGCAATCGAGCTATAACCGCGAAAGAAACGTAAGCTCTAAATGTTTTTATTTGTTGTTTTTTTTTTAAATCAAAATTCCATAATTTGTCCACAAACAAATAGCCTTTTTTTATCCAACAACTGGCAAACAAATACAAAAAAATGGCTCAAAGTGGACCATCCATTCTTGAGCTATGCGCCGTCTGACTAACGCCACTTTGGTATATATAAATAAATATTTATTTTTAATAACAATCAAGGGTTATATTCGATGTAAATATGCTGGTTTAAATGAAATAATTAAATCAAATTCGCGTTTGTTTTAAAATACCACCATGTACTATTATCCATACCTGTTTGTGGAATTTAGCTACCATTTTAGGAAGTGTGATTGAATTCTTCCCCTTTTTCTCCTGCTTCCAAAAACCAACCCTGTGGGTGGGAGTGTCAAATTTTAGAAAAAGCTACTTACAAAACCTTTCATAAATGAATCATGAGCCCAACAGATGACTGAACTTCCCATAATTGGCGAAGACATTTGTATTTCCATCTGCATTTTGGTATACCAACTGTATGAATTGATCAAACATTGATTGCGTTTTCCCATAAAATTGAAATTTTGAAATAGAAATTTTTGACATAGCTAATCGATAACCAGGACCCCGCACCGACAACACATGGTTTAGTCATAGTTACCAAATCTAAGTTGAGGGCAACGTTGCCGAAATCTTTCGCTGGAAAATCGTCACTTTACTCTAAAAAAAATCGTAATTTCGGCCAAAAAATCGTCAAAATTTTTGTTCATTGTATTTTTTTAACAAAATAAAAAATACAAAAGAATTACATACAATTGCGTTTTCTTAGAATTGCATACCTTTAACTTAAATTTATTTGAACAAATAGAGTAAAAGGTCTGAAATTTTAAGAAAAAGCATTTGCTTTGGTTTTATGCATACGGCCCAATAAATATGACCTCACATTACAAAACCAAATGGAACCCATATTGCATATGGGCTAAACACATTGCGTGCCGCGTCATTGAAATATGAACGACGGTTACATGCTACCAGTAGGCCATTTCATTCAAAAATGAATGACACTCAAATGGTACATGGTTTGAAGAAAATTTTGAAAAAACTTTCTTGTGATTTTATGATTGATTTATGAAAACAAGAATATTTTCGATGCATTTTGGCCATTTTCCAGCAGAAATTGAAGCGGTAAGACGTTCAAACGGTTGTCATTCATATTTGTATCACACTGGCCAGGCATGGAGATTTCCATAAATTTTTACATTATAGACCATGTCATTCGAATATGCATGACGCCCATGGTACAATTATTACAGGTATTGTCTTCCCAGAGTGTTGTGCTTCACATCAAATTCGTGCTCCCTTATTTTCATTTTGACGCATGTTAATTCTTTTACTTTTAGTTGGCTTTGCTCAATTTAATTTTTATAATTTTTCTAAACAAAAAAAAAACATTTGAAACGAAGTGACGAATAAACATCAAATTTACTCATTCTCTTCGCTTCACTTTTTCATTGCAACAAACAAAGCATGGTGAAATAATAATAAGGTGTTGTCAATTTTGGCAATTTCGGCATACCAGCGATACAGTAATGCCTACTCTATTCATTCCAATTTCATTTCTGGGCAAAATGGAACAAAAAATGAAGCAGACAAGTGTGTGAAAAAATTTTGCGTAGTTATCACTTACTACGTTTATACGCACGTATTATTTGCAAATAACAATTTTCAAAATGGTAAACATTGCAGTATAAACGCTGAGTTAATTTTTTATTTGCAATAACTAAACCACGCAAATAAAGTGATTAGTGGTAATATTTGCAAATAAGCGCAAGACGCCGCCATTCTTAGGTTTATTTTCGATGGTCATCTTATTGCCTTTTAATAATCAAGACGTTGCCATTTTTAACTTTATTTTTTTTTCTATGGTCATAGTATTGCCTTTTATAATCAGGCAATATAAAAAAAGAATTTTTCACCATCGAATAAACAGAGAGGTATTTGCAAATTATTTTTGTTTGCAAATAACTTACATATAAACGTAGTAACTGTTTCTTTGTTTCGCTTTTGCTTTGACTTTTCGTTTCAAATTCATTGGAAAATTTTAGCGATAATTTCCAATAATTGCGAGTTTGTAAGTAAATTTTTGATAAAATATATACTATACATATCCAGCAGATTATTGGAGCAGTACCTCAGATGGCTACGATAATGCACATGTCTAACAATTTAAACGCATAATAATTTTATAATATAACTGATAGAATTCAATTCAAATTCAATTTTTAAATGTTAACAAAAATAAAGGTCGTAATAAAATTCCCTTTAAAATTAAGATATTTAAAAACTAAGTACGCATATACGTGTACTTCAGAACTTAAGGAAAAAATACAAATAAAATTCCATACGGAATTTAAGAATAATTAAATAAAGAGAACGTTATAATTTAATTTGTTTTAATATGAATATATGAAAGACGGAAAATAGTCCTTATTTTTTAAGTATTAACCATCATCATATGTGTGTGCTACGACCGTGTGGCCTTAAAGTTTTACAAATAATAATTTTAAAGTAGAAAAAAATAACTGAATAATAATTATTAAAATCAATATATTTGATCGGAAAAATGAAAATTAAGTAAGAATAATTTCTTTTGAGCGAAAAAATGAAACTGTAATTACACTGGCTTCCAGTAAAAACATTTTATTGATGCAAGCTTCATTAAATTGGTGTGGGGTCCGCTGATATATGTATGTATTGCAAATAGTACCCAAAAAGTAGTAAAAATAATCCTATCTTTTCGCCCTTTTTCTACTACCCCAAAATGCATGGCCGCAATTGGCATGCAGAAAAAGTAAGGTTATGTAAGTGACATCACCTTATATTTATTTCACTATGAAACAAAGAAACGATTTTGTTGTTTATTAATTCAGTTCAGTTAGTCTAGACTTCATTTATTATATATATTTATATATTTTTGTTCAGGAATTTTTTGATGCGGCTTGTAGGCGGCAAAGTGATAATTAGTTAAAAAGTAAAATACAACAACAAACTTATTTTCGCGTCTGGCTAAGTTGACGTGTTGAGTAATCCCTGACGATTTCTAACGTAAGTTAAGTCTAGACTAACTGAGCTTTAAGACAAGAAAATAATGAGGCGTATTATGGTTTTTTCTTAACAGCGGTCGTCCCTCGGCAGGCAATGGCAAACCTCCGAGTGTATTTCTGCCATGAAAACTAGCTTCTCATAAAAATACAATCGCCGTTCGGAGTCGGCGTAAAACTGTAGATCCCTCCGCTTTATGTGACAACATCAAGACGTACGCCACAAATCGGAGGAGAAGCTCGGCCAAACACTAACATATGTGTAAGCGCCAATCTATTATTATTATTATTATTATTATTATGGTTTTCGTCCGAATTTATTGTATAGAAAATGATAGGAAAATTTAATGATTTTCAATTCGTAGGAAAACAAGAATACGCCCCAATATGTACTCAAACAATTTTTACGGTACGCATTTTTTAATCAAGAATTGATAGATTAAAAAAAATAAAAGGTACTATGTACAAATACAAAAGTGCAGTCAAAGTACATACAAGTACAAAGGTATGTACGTAGGATTATAGAAACCGCTAATTTAAATTTAAATCGCCAAAATTCCCTAATTTTAGCATCTGTGACACCTTCGTGTATTGTATTCGTATAATTGTAGGTATTTTGTTTATAAGTAACCATTCCATAAATGTTTACATACAGATATCCCAGCAAGAACAGAAATTTTATTTTTCAAGGATAGCTTCAATTAAAATTTCATAATTATGCTGGAGTTACGGGCACGCTGTTCTTGCTGGGAAATGATTACATTTATACACTCATAAATATAATAAGCAATTACCTTTTCCTTATCAATATGAATTCCAGAAATGAAAACTTTGGTACAGTTAAATGCTGCTTCCTGCAACTCCTCTTTGTTGCTTTCCATTACTTTAAAAAGAATATTGATGATTTTTTCTTTACATTGGCTATCAGTTATGTAATGGCAGGCAGCTAATGCCTTCAAAGCACTCTTTCGCAGTGGTATGAGATTTGGGACATTTTTATAACAATCCAACTTATTGAGAGTGGCATCTTCGGCCTCGCTTAGAGTTAGTAGCTCATGGAAAAACAATCGGTGATAATTATTGGTAAGATCTTAAATCATAATAATGATATAGAATTAATTTTAAAAATATTATTAAACATACTTATTGTAAAAAGTCTAGGCTCAAGTGTGGTGCAAAATGTGTTTCCTTCCATTAAGCCAATTTGAGCGTTCGCTGGCTGATGCCTCAGTAAGTGTTTCTTCGGCGGTATGATATCAGCTAAAACTTCTTTGTGCGGGTCCATTATCTCATACACAGTTTTCCTTTGTAATTTGGCAATAAAATTAAGCGAACCCATAGCTTCTTCACGAACCAAGGCGTTGGAGCTAGTCACTTGCCGAACGAGTTCGTGAACAATTTCATACATTGCTTTATTTTGGAATGTGATTACTTCTTCGTTATTGCTTTCATTTTCAAGAGGAACCATACATAATTTAAGCATGTTTCTAAGATTGGTCTTAGCCACATCGATTGCGCCGCTAGACACTTCACATTCCAAATCCATCAAGACGAACAAAAATGCTTTTAAAAATGTGAAAAGGTGTTGATATAGAGACTTCAATGACATGTGTTGATATAAAAACTGTATTGCTTTACATCCACCCACTTTCGCGTACCACGGTCGCTCATAACAGAGTGAAGTCATTTTTTCTACCAGATATTGAATCAAAGGCAGACGGCATGCTCTTTCTTTCGTGCCCATAATTGTGCTTGCGGTCTCCAAAATCAGTTCCATACAGAGGTGACCGGGCTTGCATAATTCTTTCTCTTCATGTCCCATGCATATCGAGAGGGCATCGATCAGGACAAGTGGGTCAACTCCTTGCGAGCTGTGGTAGTGCTTGTATGGAAACGGCCCGGCCTCTTGCGCTATTGCCACCATAGTGTAGTGCCGAACAACGGCTACCATAACAGGAAAAACTGATTCCCGAAGATCTTTTGTTGCAGAAGCTACCAGCATTCCTGTTAGTGCTATCTGGTGAGTTTTGCGTGAATGCTCTTCCTCAAGCTTACTTTGAATTATTGGGGAAATCATTATATTTCCTTCGGTAAAGCTATTATGAGTGAATAATTTCTGCAATGTATATTTATCATCGTCGAGATTGATAGATGCTGCTATGAAACAGCGTATCGCTTCCCAACTTTGTCTTCTATAAAACGCATCAGTCGTATTAGAGCTAAGGGCAGTAAAAGCAGTTTCAATTGCCTTTTCAACCGGAAAATCAATCGGTTTATCGTGATCTTGAAAATATGTTACGACGGCTGTGGGTAGAGCATCGTTTTCTCTAAACTGCAAAGTCTGAGGTTCAGTCATCATTTTTCTATTTCCACCACCAAGCTTGCCCAGCACGCGAAAAGCTACTAAAGCAGCATTGTCTTGATTTCTTAGCGTGCGCCACAGTGCTTGCATTAATGACGCGCGTACCGGCTGAATATGATCATATAAGAAGTCTGGTTGAAGGTTGTCGACGCAAAGTTCTAATGTCCTCAATCCCTACGTGAAAAAAGATATTAAAATAAATACATAGTATTACAAAAACATTTTCCGAGGAATAACTCTCTGGAACATATTTACCCACTAGCACTTTCATGAGTTATAATGCTATACAAAAATATTTCCCGTGCAGGTTTTAGTTTAGGCGTACAAGTAGGTTAGCCACTTAGTTAACCGTTTTTTCTCTTTTTTGAGAAACACTTAGGTAAATACATACTACTGAAATCATGGACAACACTTTACTGGAATGTTCTGTAATAATACTTTATTTTTTTTGTTTAAATTATTTCCTTGTTTATTTTTACTTAACATGAATCCCATTGCACTATGCTATAAATCTACCTGCGAGCATTGGCAAGTGATGGAGTTTCCATCAATACAATTTCAGGAAAAGTTACATGCAGTTGAACGATTTTTTCAAGAATACTCAGATATCGGTAACGATGTAGGAGTCCAAGAGGTTATAAAAGCGGCAGACCCAAAAGAAAGACGACAGCGGGGGATGGGCGTAATGCTGCCAAAAAGACTGCGACTTTTACACAGATCCTGCTTTGGTGGCTTATACAAGCTTTTAAATTTGCAATTATTTTATGAAAATCCACCGTTATCTTATATCATGGTGATGTTTCTTTTCCTGGACTCCGATTTCACTGTGTCGAAATTTTAGGTAGAAACGATTCTATATAACCTCCTGAACACGTCCCCAAAGGCATTCTAGGATAGCTCGAATAAGTGAAATATTTGCAAATTAATTTGGGCTTTGGTGAGGATTTTATCTTGCGCTGGTTAGTGACGGCTAATTTTGTTATAGAACCAACTATCATAACTTAAAAATACAGCAAATATAAACACAAATATAAACTTCCCTGCCGAAGCGGCTGTTCTAGCTGATGAGCGTGATAGCCTTCGTCAGGCCGATCCCGGAGATCCCCGTATCAGGGATCTCAACGCGGAGATTCGGCAACTTGTAAACGTACATAAGCGGAAGAAGTGGGAGGAGCACCTGAAGACTTGTAATTTCACCTCTGGTGTGAGCAAGCTTTGGTCAACCGTGAGGTCATTGTCTAATCCGACGAAGCACGACGACAGAGTCGAAATTTCCTTCGGCGACCATGCTTCGTCGGACCCGGAGCGATGCGCGAGCTATTTTAGCCGGCAGTTCATACTGCATCCTCCGGTAGACAAAGCCAAGCGTCGAGTGACCAGAAGGCTGCACAAACTGCCAACAAATTGTGCCCCCCTTGCTTTCACTTGCGGTGAAGTTCAGGTGGCCATCGGGAAGGCGAAAGCCTCCAAAGCCATGGGTCCCGACGGAATATGCATGCTGATGCTGAAAAATTTGGGTCCTGCGGGGGTAGCGTATCTAACGGAGGTCCTCAACCTGTCAATGGCCACTCTCATCATCCCAGACATCTGGAAGGTGGGGAGAGTGGTCCCACTGCTCAAACCGGGGAAACCCGCCAACAAAGGAGATTCGTATCGTCCGATTACACTCCTTTCCCCGGTAGCGAAGACACTCGAGGCCTTGCTACTCCCGTACTTCACAAACCACCTGACCCCAGCGAAGCATCAGCATGGTTTCCGTAAAGTGCACAGCACAACAACAGCACTTAACGCCATAAACACTCAGATAACTCGTGGCCTTAACCGCAACCGTCCCAGTGAGAGAACGATTCTAGTAGCGTTGGACTTGTCAAAGGCGTTTGACACCGTCTGCCATTCCACGCTGCTAGAAGATATAGAGGCCTCCTCTCTCCCACAGAGGCTCAAACGGTGGCCGGCAAATTATCTGAGTGGTCGACATTCGTCGGTAACATTTAGAGACAAAACGAGTACGCAGCGAAAAATAAAACAGGGGGTTCCTCAGGGTGGTGTCCTTTCCCCGCTACTGTTTAACTTTTATATTTCAAAGCTCCCTCAACCACCAGAGGGAGTCTCGATTATCTCCTATGCCGACGACTGCTCGATCATGGCGACTGGGAATGGAATTGATGACCTGTGTTTGAAAGTAAACGGCTATCTCTCCGAACTTTCTCGCTTCTTCACTGCAAAGTGTCTAGCCCTCTCCCCTACGAAATCCTCCGCGACCCTGTTCACAACCTGGACGAAGGAGGTCAGGCTACCGCTGGGGATTCACGTCGATGACACACCAATTCCGACGGTGAATAACCCCAAAATACTCGGAGTAACATTCGACAGCCTGCTCTCCTTCTCTGCGCACTCAACCGCTATTGTCAATAAAGTACAGAGCCGCAACAAGGTCCTCAAGTCGCTAGCCGGCAGTACTTGGGGCAAAGACAAAGAAACGTTGCTGGCAACATACAAGGCAATAGGCCGGCCGGTTTTGAACTACGCAGCGCCAGTGTGGTCGCCAGGGACTAGTAGGACGCAGTGGACGAAGCTACAGACGGTACAAAATACGGCACTTAGGACAGCGACGGGATGCCTCCTGATGTCGCCAGAACACCACTTGCACGGCGAGGCGCAAATGCTCCCAGTTAAGGAGCACTACATAATGCTCTGCAAGCAGTTCCTGATCGGGAGCCACAGAAGTGGCAACCCAAACAGACAGCTGCTTGCAGAGGAGCCCTCGCCTAGGCACGTCAGGAGGCATCTATATGAACTGACGGACGAAGTCCAGAGGTTCATTAAGCAACCTCTGGACCCGACAGCGTACAGACAGGCCCTGAGCGGCATTCACAGGGACTCAGTCTCGAGTTATGTAGACTCTACACCTGTGAATGCCGTTCTAGGCATACCACCCCCGGACATTGACGAGACAGAGCTTCATCTGCCTCGGGAGACACGCACTACACTCGCTCAACTTCGCTCCGGCTACTGCAGCAGGTTAAACTCCTACTTGAGTAGGCTGAATGAGGATGTGCCGAACGAATGTCCGGCATGCGGAGAGACCCCACATGACTCGAACCATCTCTTCGCATGCCCGGAAAACCCGACAACCCTAACGGCCTTGTCCCTGTGGACAGATCCCACAGAAGCTGCACGCTTCCTAGGGTTGCCGTTAGTGGAACTTGACGACAACGACTGAGATACCAACCGATCTGGGCGGGGTTGTTGTAGCCGCTACAACAACAACAACTAATTTGAATTCGATGCTATTGTTGTAGCGGTTTACTTAGCCCTCCCTAGATCGGATAGCCTTTCAGGAAATGTGCCGTTGCGACGGGTCGGACCAGAGGGATAGGGGTATTAGTTGAGTTGGGTGGGGGAGCTGGACAGTCATTTAGTATATCAGGATCGATTCAAGGCAGATGAGAGTTGAGGCGACTACAGTATCCAGACCGTAACTGGACAAGAGTCGCGCGGGTCCCTCGGCAATCGAAGCCCAATATCGTCTACAGGTAGTGATTGGACCCTTATGATCGCATTCACAGGACGGGAGTCTGTGTAGGTGGAAGTAGTCTCGAATGTCGTTAATATCATATATGTAATACTTCTATACTGGCAGTAAGCTAACTTCTCAATGTGTAAGCACTCCGAAATCAAAGCAAGACAGTCCAGTACCGTTTTCGTGAATTATTGTGTACGTGAGTGCCGTTTTTGTGTATGTGTTGTGTCCTGGTTTATTTATAAACGTATGTGTTCTTTTTCCTTGCCAACAAGTGCTACTTTGGACTGAGTAGGCAATTCAGGAGTAAAGTCCTCTCGACGTACGAAAACCACGCTCTATAAGTCATTCATCATGCCCGTGCTGGTATATGGCGCAGAGGCGGCTCTTGGAGTGTTTGAGAGAAAGATTTTGCGGAAGATTTACGGGCCTTTACGCGTTGGCGACCGCGAGTACCGCAGACGATGGAACGATGAGCTGTATGAGCTTTACAACGATATGGACATAGTGCAGCGAATTAAAATACAGCGGCTCCGCTGGCTTGGTCATGTCGTTCGAATGGACACCGACGCTCCAGCTCTGAAAGTATTCGACTCGGAACCCGCTGGTGGTAGCAGAGGAAGAGGGAGGCCCCCACTGCGATGGAAAGATCAGGTGGAGAAGGACTTGGCTTCACTTGGCGTTTCCAATTGGCGTCAGTTGGCACAGAGGAGAAACGACTGGCGTGCTTTGCTGAACTCGGCCAAAATCGCTTAGGCGGTTACAGCGCCAAAAAAGAAGAAGACGTGTTCCTTTTCTTTCGTACGTGTTTATTAATATATCTGTGCTGTAATGTTTTCGGATGGTACTAGCTCTTACTGCCAATATAGAAGTATTATATATATGGTTAATATGCATTTTTGAAGGGCTGGGGGCATTTTAAAGCTTATGATTTAAATTAGCGTATTAATATTACCTGACTTATTAAAGTTGACGATCCATTGAGAGCAGAAACTAAAGGATCCATAAGCATCGGTAGATATGGCAAAAGAGAGGACAACCGGACAGGTACAGTCAAACAGAGCTCAACGAAGAGATCTTTCATATGCTGTTTGTGAAAGCCACTCTGTAAACGATTCAAGCCTTCTAATAAATTCGGCAGTAACGGGAGAAACTCTTGATATAATAAGTCATGGCTTCCTCCGCCAATCGATCTAAATAACGCACGTAGGAGCAGAAAATAGTTATATGGCTCTTCAGCTGTCAGAGCCAGTTCCATTGATCTATTGACGATGTTATGTAAATGTGGACGTAGCATCTGTTCATTTTCTACTGGAAATAAACTAACACTTCCAAATACTAATTTAAACAATCGCAAGTATAAATTTGAGCGTTCGATATTTGAACCCATTTCATCCATTTTCCCTAGCAAATATTCAACGAGCACAGTCGCAAAAAGAGGCGAAGTAGTTGGGTTCGCGAGGAATGAATTTGCCACGACTTGAAGCGATGAATTTTTAGAAATCCTTTCAACCATAAAGTCAATGGTAGTGGCGAAAACTTCTTGGAAGTTTTGTGGATGCATCATTAGAAACTGAAAATATTAAATATGCACCAAAATAATATATTTTTACATTCTCATACGTATTTTCCAATTTATTACAATGCCACTAAAGTGCTCCAGAACTTCTTTCTCTTCCTTTGTTCTTGGTCCTTGATTTGATGACCTCTGCTGGTTGGTATTAGCCGTACTTATTGTGTATATATCCAAAGCTTCCATTGCCCAATAAACTAAATCAATATATATTTTCAGCTCACTAGAGTCAAATAATTTTTCCTGATTGGTTTTAACAACATCGGCAAACACGGGCTTAATAAAGTAAAGGAATTTTGTAAGCGGCGAAAAATACATAAACCTTTATTGATCTTACTTTGGAGCTTATGAATCCCCATGTTATTGTTTTAGCACCGCCAACCAAAGTTTTTACTAAACCTCGATACTCTACTATATTGGCAGGGCATAACCATTGATTTCCAATGAGACTCATTTTCATGGCTTGATCCGTCGAACCATTTTCCTTTAATAGTAATACAAATTGAGTGATTTTTATTTTCAAAAATAATTTAATATTTAAAATTTATACTTACACCACCTCCATCTTTAAAGTCGTTAAACCCGTTGGTACTTTGGGTACTTGAAGAACTTGGTGACAAATTCGCAGCCGGTACAGAAATTTGGTTCTTCCTATTGAAAAATGAGAAATGGCATACCCCATTTGAGAAATCACTTAAATTTTCAAATCGATTTCAAATTGTATTTAACAAATTGTCATTGGAAATACAAAAAGCTCAAGGCGAATTTATAGGTGCACTCCCGTATTCCTCGGACTCGGACTAGTAAAACTGTCAAAAAATAAAAATTCGCTCAAAGCGAGAGAGTAACATTGAAAAGTACGGGATCGCTTTCTAGTAAAAAATGGTAACTTCTGTCAACTTCAACATAACCTCCAAATTTTGGTTATACATTTTTGCTTATTTGTATGTAAACACACTCAGCTCACACAGGTAAATAACCAAAAATACTTTCAAATTCATTAGAATCTACTTAAACAAGTAATTAAATACTATTCAACATGAATTAGCAGAGTGCACTTTTCTTTTGTTTACAATTTGGTTGCCAAACACACTACAGCTGATCGTTTGACACATTTACCAGAATTTACCAGCAAAAAATTCTCGGACTAAAACTGGTAACTTCTGACAGAGAGAGAACCGTATTTACTCTCTTTTTTGTCCTCTCAATAGTCAGAGAACCGAGTACGGGATCGATTTCCAGTAAAATCTGACTGATTCTGATTATTTCTGACTAGTCCGGACTCGTACGGGATCGCAACTTATATAAGGTGGTGTTGTTTAATCAGCTGTGTGTAGCGTTTGATTGTCAAAATTTTATATTTTGCTAGTGAGTGAGTGAAAACGTGAGAGTGTTTGCATTTTCTGTCGCCCTTTTTCATTCGGAGAAGAATAGCTGAAATTTGACAATCACCAGCTAAAAGCAAAAACAAAATACAGGTAATTGTTGTATTTGTTGAATCGATACCAGCTTATATGTATTCGCCTTGGATACCACCTTATATGAATTCGTTTGAAAAATCTGATCGAATTAAACGAGCTGAATAGGAGCGAGATGAAAGATTTAACCCTTCCATCGTTTCGGAACACTAACTTCCTGCAACCAAGGTACCCGCACGCCTCTGTGCAGTAAAAATGCCGGTCTGTCAACGTAAAGAATACTCTATGTCGAAATGCTGCAGCCACAAAAGACCGCCAGCATACTGGCCTCACAGAATTGCTCCCTGAGATCATCATTCAACAAACTGACATATACGAACAGTGGAACCTTATTTTGTAGGTCATAACGTACTGCCGCCGGATTTCAGCGATCCCGATAGAACAACTAGTACGATAAGGAAGGTCACATCACTGCAGATAAAAACGATGCCGCCTACATGATCACGCTCCGCAACGCGAGCTACGTGGTAACGATATAGGGAGCTGAAGAGGGAATCGAGACCCATTAACGGTAATAAGAGAGGTCGAAATACGGAAGTGCGAAGAGCTTGAAATACTGAGAGATAGGAAGAACGCCCGTAAATTGAATCAGAAAGTTAGGCGACTTTCGGAAATATGTATGTATTTAATACTTGGATGTTTCCGAAGGAGTGTCAATTAGGGTTTATAATTGGTGTGGAATGTACGGACCCTAAAATTTGCTCTTTTTTATAACTAGCAAAAAGTATTTCTTTTTTTCTTTTTTAAACTTAAGTGTAAAATACGAAGCTGCTATGCCAAAAAATAATTGTTTAATTTTACTACATAGTCTCGAACAGCAGCCCGATTCAAACTTTCGCTATCGCTTAAATGCTAAAGCTAAAATTTTATCTGGCTTTTTGGCGATCTCCAAAAATTGCAATTCTTTCCTCCCTGTCGCTAAAAATTGCCTAGCCTAAATTTTAGTATGTTGGTGTTGGTTGATTTTTCCGACAGGGTGGTAAGATGATTTATTTTGGAACGAATTTCCGTCATCCCTTGTCAAGTTTGGTTTGCAGACAAACCGGTTTCGGCGTTGTGCCATCTTCAGTGTCATTTTTCGTTCTGAATTAAATTTTAGTACTTTATCCGGCCGCAAGTGATGCCGGGCAGCAACAGACGCTGTCAAAATTTGTTTGCATTTCAATGGTGATAAACAGGGAACGGATTTTATGGAAATTGCCTTTTTTTCTGCTAAAGAGATAGAGTATATTCGATTAAGAATGTCCACGATTTAGCTTTCCCTGATTCCATATATACACATTTGATGTTGCGTTTTTGTTTTCTTTTTTAAGATATTTGCCCTTTTTTTTGCCTTTTTTAAGATATTTGCCTTTTTTTGCCTTTTCTACCTTTAAAAAAGTGATTATAGCATTTACAATTTTTTTTTTAAGAATAAAAAATATACACATGCCCATCCGGCTTATAGAAGCACAGGGACCTCTTGCCAAATTGGTGTTTGAAAAATTCAAAGCCGTTTTCTCAGCTAACGTAAGCTTGGAGACAATAAAGGTACTGGCCCAATGCAGGCTTGCTTTGCTTGCTTCGCTCCGAGAAGTGTCAAAAATTATTTGGAACATACTGAAATGTAAAAAGGCTGGCCAAATGGCAGCTTTTCTTCACTTGCTTTAAGCGCCTCAAAGTTTTAAATAGACAAATGTTTTATTTGAAAGCGTTTTGTAGGCTTTTGACAAAGAGGCATGTTCCTGTTCAAAATACATAAATTCAAACAAAAATTTGCTTACTTAATTTAAAAAAAAAGTAATTCGAAATCATATATAACATATCGTTATATTATAGTAAAAAATTGCAAAGCTCACTTTTACAAATTTTACACGAGAGGAAAAAACTTCTTATAGCTCTTCTTCAAGTAAATTGCTTTTTTAAGTTATAGTTTTTTTAGTAACTGTAGATATACATATGTATGTGTCATTACTGCCAGTTTTTTTAAATACAAACATTATTTCGCATTAATTTAAAAATAAATCTGAAAGTTTTTGATACATCTTCTAGAGTTTTCTAGGAAAACAATAATTAATGTTAAGGGAACAGATATTGATTTTTCAACCAGAGAGCTGGTTACTTTGACAGCGTTTCAAGCCGCCATTCGGCCAAACAAGTTTTCAAACTAAATCAAAGCAAACTAAAGTCAGCAAGGCACCCAAAGCAAGCCTGCATTGGGCCAGCGCCTTAAGGGGTGTGGATAAAATTGTAAAGGGCGAGGAAAACGCCCTTATTCCTAATAATATGAGCTCTAGATACCCGGGTATCGAGCAATGCGAGTAGCTCGATACTCGCTCGAAACTCGTTCATTGTTCAACTGCTCAAATATTTGATCAAAATTTTCGAGCTTTTGAACATTTTGATCAACAAAATAAAAATTGTCAATTTTATTTATCAGCAGCTGCTTTCCAAACCAATACCAAATAAATAATTAATATTAAATACAAATGTATCGTCATAAATGTTCATGATTCAATAATTAAAGGTTTGCTCATTATTGACATTCGACTTTTGACACTCCCTTAGCTGCCTTACAAAAGCTTTGCACACACACACGAACCCACACACAGTGCTTTGCTAAGGGAGCCGATTTTGTCAAGAGGGAACGAGAAAACTGCTTTTTGAGCAAACCTTTTATTATTGAATCTTGGTAAATGTTGGGTGTGGCGCTATGCCTTTAGAAATTGTGCTCTGGCACAATGCAATATACATATGCAGCAATTTTTTAATTGTTCTTGCGGCAACGCCACGGTTCTTCAGTGGCGCTTGCACAAAATTAATTAATTATCAAACATTACAGATATGATGTGAGTAGCATTAAGTGGCGTGCTGCATAAGGGTCCTGGCCAAATCGCCCATTGACAATTTGACCACTGCAATTATGTGCTGGACCGACCAGGGTTACTTTTTTGATGCGCGTTCAAAAGCCACTGACCAGAAAATGTATTATACGCATAAAGAATGCGAACTACCACTACTTGCCATTAGAACAAGAAGAAATCAGAAAATAGATTTACTTTGTGGCCAGCACAAGGGGCCATACCGCCAATGGACGATAGTGGTAATTTTGCCAATGGCTGATTTAGCGAGGACCTTTTATTAAAATATTAGTTTAATAGGTACCTGAATGCATGTTACGATCTTGGCACTGTACTATATGTATAATTTGTAAAACTCATGGCGCATTTACATGGTATGAATCTGTTCATAAGCCGTATTAATTTTCCTATAAAAGAAGCACCAACTCTATGAAGAAATGAATGAAAGCCATATATATTTAACAATTTTGACTTGTATACTAGACAATATTTTTTTTGTAAACAACAAATAAAAAAATTTTATTTTGTGCTAGCTTCGAAACTAGAAGCTTATTTTTTTAACTGTGCTTTAAAAAGGACCTACTGCCAATAAAGCCTTGTGGATTGCTATTTTTCCATATTTGTAATGCTTCCATTTAAACATCTTTGTGGAAAAACAGTTTTTTGTTCAGAATTGCTTGTTTACGAAACGTTTGGCATAAGTTGAAATCATAGGGATGCCGTTTTCTTCCGTTTCTCAGTGGATTTTATACTTGAAAAGACACCAAAATATGTATGCAATACTTCTAGATATCGTCGTTTAAAGTACAAAACCGAGCATCAAGAAAATGCAAAACCTCGTGTGTGAGGTTGCCTAAATTTTATAGGAGAGAATGAAACTTGTCCTAATTAAAAACGGATCTCTCTTTTAAACTTAATAATCTTCTCTCCTTATATCTAGGTATCGATATTTTATTATAAATCGCTAAGGGCTTGATGTCAGGAGCTTCCGGTGCCCAAATATCTTTTTTGGCACAAATTTCAGTTCCGAGGTTTTGCAGAACCACGATACGCGCTTTTGTACTTTAAACGACGAATATGTATATCGCTTGAACAATATGTTAGTGTTTGGCCTAGCTTCTCCTCCGATATGCGGCGTGCGTGATTTTGTCACACAAAGTAAAGGACAGTTTTACGCCGACTCCGAACGGCAATTGTATTTTAATGAGAAGTTGTTTCCATGACAGAATACACTCGGAGGTTTACTATTACCAACAGAGGGGCGACCACTATTAGAAAAACTGGGCTTGAACTCAGGCTCTGCGTAATGCTCTACAGCAGCCGCCACTACTTT